TGTTTGGTGACCAGCGGTGCTCAGTCCTGGGCAGACCACCCGCAACCAAGGCCGGACCTCGGATGGCACCCCACCCCCACGCCCCTCCACCCGCCTGGCCTGGGCATCGTCTTCCGATCTTTTCAGCTGGTTCTTCCCCGGGGCTTGATTGTCTCCTGCCGCCCGTGCGGACCTCCCTCCACCGAACGGACGAGCTGGGCTGCCCACAGATGTGCCGGCCTCGCGGTTGGGACGGGCCCCTTGCAGCGGGCTGTGCATCACACTTCGTTCTGTTTCTTGAGGGCTGGTGTGTGCATTTGAAGCTTCATCGTTTGGGTTTTGATATGCGGTGGCCTTAAGTTTAAATAATTTATATTTTCAGTTCTCGTTTTGTCTTTTAGTCCAAATTACTTAGGATTAGTATTAGGTCTCTCTCCCTCCTTCCGGCCTTGGAAAAGGCAGTGCCCGTGTATTGGGGGAGAAGTTCAAACAAGACTTGCCAGTGACCAGTAAGTTTCTGCCGCGTCTTGGCTTCTGGTCTTCTCCAGAAACTGTCCTTATCACCAGTCTCCCGTACATGCTCCCAGCGCATCTGTGACGTGACGTGATGTACCGTGTGGGGGGCAAGGACGGATGAGTGAATCTCTTTAAAGGTGTTTCCCACATTCTACCGCCCGACACTGTCTCCCGCTGCCGTCGTCACTTGTCGCTGCTCCTGGAGACCTTCAGGGACGAGCGTGTGAGCCCCCTGGGCTGCTGGGGACCAGCGTGTCCCAGGGTCCTCCTTGTTCCCCTTGTCACACGGTCTCCCCGACTGCGACCTGGCCCCTTGCCTTTGTCTCCTTGCTCCTCATCTCGTCCTGCGTCCCAGTCTCCTGTTCCCTTGCGGCTCCTGCTTCTGCCCTGCACGCCCGCGTCTGTATGGCCCCTTACGGACCGCCTGCAGACCAGGAACTTGCGCCGCGTATTAGCGGAGGAGGGTCTGACGTCTCCTAACCCCTGGCGATCGTCCCAGAGACTCGCGTGGGGGTCCCAACACGAGGTCGGAGGAGCGAACGGCACCCGGCTGGGTCACGAAGTGTCTCCCTGGGTGGGCGCTAATCTGAACGTTCTGCCGCAGGAGCCGTCGTGACGATCACCACGCCCGTGAGCATGAACGTGGACAGCCTGCAGTCTCTGTCCTCGGACGGCGCCACCCTGGCGGTACAGCAGGTCATGATGGCGGAGCAGAGCGAGGACGAGTCTGTGGACAGCACGGGGGACAGCGGGGCCGCGCTCGCCCCCACCCACATCAGCGGGCTGGTCCTGGAGAACAGTGACTCCCTGCAGTAGGGCCGGCACAGCCCAGAACCGCGGGGCGGGCCTGACTTTTTACAGTTTGCACAGCAAACATTTTACACACTTTTATTTCTGACATGTTTTATACGTAGATGGAGAAGAATGCACTTTTGTATTTCATAGTGAGCTTCAAGAGCGCCCTCGCGGGCGCGGCGACTTTCCGGTGTGCGTGTGTGTGCGTGTGTGCGTGCGCGGGTTTTTAAGGAGATTCTTTAAAGGTTTAACGCTAAAAATGTGATGAATGACAGACACCCCCGTGAGCCCCTGATTAGTTAAGGAATAGTGCTGCCATTTTCTAGAAAATGATGCAGTTTTAATTTCGTTCTGTGGTTGAAGCAGGTCCCAGTGGGCTGGTTTATTTGTGTTGCCCACGGATTGGAGAGAAGCTTCTGCACCTTAAAACTGCCAGTGCGAGGTAGACGCCCACGGCAGCAAAGTGCGTGTGGCCCGTGGTGAGCGTGCTCTGGTGGACATACGCCGAGGTCCCCACGGACTTGGTGAGCCTGTTTCATTTGCTATATATGAAAAGAAACTCCTATTTTTACCTTGCTGGAATTATTGGATAAAAAGCTATTTTTATAAATTCGCTATGAATTGGATTATGACTATATTGAGGATAAAATTTCTAGAGAAGAAACACACGTGCTTACTATTTCAATTTGGAATGTTCTGAACTGACCAAATTTAGTGAACCTGCCCAAAGGTAGCTAGCATTCCACGGTTCTCCACCGTCCCGGGGGAGCGATTGACATGTAGTACCGTAGAAGAAACAAGCGTCTAATGCAGTTTTGACACCTTCGGACTTCAGTTTCTATGTAAAAGCTCAGATTGCATTTCACACTTGATCTGAACCTGTATCTAAAGGTGTTTGCTAATAGGACTTAGGTGAGTTAAGTGAGGTGGTAACCAGTAGTCAGAAGCTGTGACCACACACGTCAGTCTAATTTAAACTCGACTACAGTTAAATGGTTACTGCACCAGTTAGCTGTGTATTGTTTTAGAAGTTTTTAGTCGGCCCTATGTTATGCATAGAATGTTTATTATAAACTAATATAAGATGTGCTCTGTGCCACTGGCTCAGAGTGAGGCCCAGTAACCAGCACCCGCGCTGTTACGCAATTAACGTGTCCCCAAAGCGACACAGCTCCCCGGGCGGGCTCTCCGGCCTCAGCTCACACGCGTCTGCCGTCGGTCCCGGGGTCAGTATTTTCTCCCCGTACGTCATCGCTTTGGAAT